TTAATAATAATAATAATTATTATTATTATTATTATTATTATTTGGACCCTAGATATCATTTGGGTCCTTTCTTTAGTTTAGTAAAGAGGGGAGAGGGGCTTCAAACCACATGCATGAACTGAGTCAAATAGGGTTATTATATATATATATATATATATATATATATATATATATGCACCCAAAAGCTCTGTTACCTTGCAGAACCCAGCCCTCATTGGGAAATGTGTATGTGTGCATTTGTATCAGTAGCTTTGGTATATTCTTGGTGTGGGGCTGGGTGCTGTAAGGGAAGCGTGAAGCCTTGATTCTGATCCGCTAACGCACAAAATGCAAACTCTATCACACAGGCTCTGCCTCAGTCGACGGTTCCGGTTTGGTTTGGATCAGGAGCTGATTGTCTATAAAAAGGAGACCGTACAGAACCGATCCCAGGCAAAGCCACTTTCATATGACAGAGAGTGCACACTAAAAGGGTACTGGGTATGTCGTATTTAATGAAGTGAGACTTGATTTGAAAGTGCACTTGATTGTATTAGTGCTTAATGTTAAAGGAATGGTAAAATGAAGCATTCTAACATGAAAAAAAGACCTTTTGAGGCAAGTCAGTGGCAAGTCAAGTCATACAACTTCTGTTCCTACTTTAATGGAGAAAAACAGTTCAAAAGCATTGTTCATGCTTTAATAACATTTTAAATTAGAAAACCAATCATAGTATCAAATAATGCAAAAAAACTCTATCAAAAAGCGATTCTTTCTTACAGTATGTGGTGATACATACCCTCCCAATGACTGAATGAGCTGAGATGATTAGCCGAAAGCTACTGTTTACTGGTTAAGAGATTTTCGCCCTCTTCGACTATACAATCACTTTGCTTTCGCTCAAAATTGAGAGGGAGAGCTACAAATGTCACTTATAAATCACTCTCTGCTTTAAGAACCCTCCTTTCTTTTACTTTGTTTCATGCTGTTCCTCAAGACCAACCCCTTCTACCTGCGACCCAATCCATCAGTTTCTCCTCAAAGACTGTCATAGGACAGGAATGAGTGAGAGCAGGGGCTGATGGGACTTGTAGTTTTGTCTTAGGAGGAGGTGAAGGCCAGAGGCAGCGAGCAAAGGGTGCAGAATACTGACACATAGAGCGTTAAGTAACCGCGTTACAAAGTTGGGGGGAAACTAAACACTGTTTTGAAGGGGAAAAGGACAGCAAGTCTTCATTTTACAGGGTAAAGGAATAGTTCAGCTCGAAAAGAAAACCTCATACTAAGGTTCTTCTAAACCTGTATGGCTTTATTTCTTCTGTGGAGCACAAAAGATGTTCAGCAGAACGTCCAAGCTGCTCTCTTCCATACCATGGAAGTGGATGGGGACCAAGTGCTGTCATGCTCAAGTATAATAAAAGTGGTTTACATGACCTGTGCATGACATTTCAGGTCTTCTAAAGCTAATTCACAAAAAAAAAAAAAAAAGTTGTTATCCACTGAAATTCAGTTTTGGTCACCATTCACTTTCATATGGGAAATAGCTGCTTGGACTATATACATCTCATTTTGTGTTCTACAGAAGAAATCAAGTCATATGGGTTTCTAGAGACATCTGGGTGAGTAAATGATGGTAATTTTTTCATTTTTGAGTCAACTATTCCTTTAAGATGGCTAACACTGAAAAACGGAGAGAAAACGACATAGAAAATGGCTGAGAAAGAAAGAATGAAAGCAATATGAGACCTCCATTCTTCTCACGCCCTCCTTCCATGCCACGTCTCTCTAAATGTGTGGCCCGACGGCCTCACTGCTATCTGAGTGCGTGCATGCGCGGTTGCGAGAACCATCCACAGAGCCGGCGCTGGTCAGAGAGGCCGTTCGCGAGCGAGCAAGACGGGTCATACTGGCCGAAGGCACTGAGAGAAACACAGAGAAGGAGAGATAGAGATTTCATATCCACATGGAAATTTGTCCGGGCTGCATGATGTGTTGCAGAGGAGGCAGGGATGACATGCTTGAACTTTTTGTCGAAAATAATTTCAGCCTCAAGCTGATAACATTCCACCGCGAATACTTCAGAATGACTCAAATCCAACTTAAATAGCCAACCAGAATCTTTACGTATATATATCTAAATACCCTTGTTTTCAGGGTTTTCAGGGTAAATTTTTTTCAATCAGTATTTTTCTTCATCTAAACATCCTTAAACAAAAAATAATAATTTTAATAATTTAATGTAGAAATAAGAATTCACTTTACTCCATTAGAATTTTTCCTCTTGTTAAGAATAAACTTCAAAAAAGTTTGTGAGATTCTGCACCAAACCCTATGTGCACACATATACACACTGATAAAACCTTTTTTTTTTCCATGGTGTAAATAAAACAAATGTTTTAGAAAAAAATACTATTTCAGTCTTTCTACTTTATCATTTTATTTATTTATTTATTTTTTTATTGCAAGTCAGTGGCAAGTCAAGTCATACAACTTCTGTTCCTACTTTAATGGAGAAAAACAGTTCAAAAGCATTGTTCATGCTTTAATAACATTTTAAATTAGAAAACCAATCATAGTATCAAATAATGCAAAAAAACTCTATCAAAAAGCGATTCTTTCTTACAGTATGTGGTGATACATACCCTCCCAATGACTGAATGAGCTGAGATGATTAGCCGAAAGCTACTGTTTACTGGTTAAGAGATTTTCGCCCTCTTCGACTATACAATCACTTTGCTTTCGCTCAAAATTGAGAGGGAGAGCTACAAATGTCACTTATAAATCACTCTCTGCTTTAAGAACCCTCCTTTCTTTTACTTTGTTTCATGCTGTTCCTCAAGACCAACCCCTTCTACCTGCGACCCAATCCATCAGTTTCTCCTCAAAGACTGTCATAGGACAGGAATGAGTGAGAGCAGGGGCTGATGGGACTTGTGGTTTTGTCTTAGGAGGAGGTGAAGGCCAGAGGCAGCAAGCAAAGGGTGCAGGAATACTGACACGTAGAGCGATAAGTAACCGTGTTACAAAGTTGGGGGAAACCAAACACTGTTTTGAAGGGGAAAAGGACAGTAAGTCTTCATTTTACAGGTTAAAGGAATAGTTCAGCTCGAAAAGAAAACCTCATACTAAGGTTCTTCTAAACCTGTATGGCTTTATTTCTTCTGTGGAGCACAAAAGATGTTCAGCAGAACGTCCAAGCTGCTCTCTTCCATACCATGGAAGTGGATGGGGACCAAGTGCTGTCATGCTCAAGTATAATAAAAGTGGTTTACATGACCTTTGCATGACATTTCAGGTCTTCTAAAGCTAATTCACAAAAAAAAAAAAAAAGTTGTTATCCACTGAAATTCAGTTTTGGTCACCATTCACTTTCATATGGGAAATAGCTGCTTGGACTATATACATCTCATTTTGTGTTCTACAGAAGAAATCAAGTCATATGGGTTTCTAGAGACATCTGGGTGAGTAAATGATGGTAATTTTTTCATTTTTGAGTCAACTATTCCTTTAAGATGGCTAACGCTGAAAAACTGAGAGAAAAGGACACAGAAAATGGCTGAGAAAGAAAGAATGAAAGCAATATGAGACCTCCATTCTTCTCACACCCTCCTTCCATGCCACGTCTCTCTAAATGTGTGCATGTGAGACAGTGCACGAGGGATCAGCAGGACACTTCCATGGTGTGGCTGACCTGCCCGATGCCCTCACTGCTATCTGAGTGCGTGCATGCGCGGTTGCGAGAACCATCCACAGAGCCGGCGCTGGTCAGAGAGGCCGTTCGCGAGCGAGCAAGACGGGTCATACTGGCCGAAGGCACTGAGAGAAACACAGAGAAGGAGAGATAGAGATTTCATATCCACATGGAAATTTGTCCGGGCTGCATGATGTGTTGCAGAGGAGGCAGGGATGACATGCTTGAACTTTTTGTCGAAAATAATTTCAGCCTCAAGCTGATAACATTCCACCGCGAATACTTCAGAATGACTCAAATCCAACTTAAATAGCCAACCAGAATCTTTACGTATATATATCTAAATACCCTTGTTTTCAGGGTAAAAAATAATAATTTTTTTCAATCAGTATTTTTCTTCATCTAAACATCCTTAAACAAAAAATAATAATTTAAGTAAAATTGTGTAGAAATAAGAATTCACTTTACTCCATTAGAATTTTTCCTCTTGTTAAGAATAAACTTCAAAAAAGTTTGTGAGATTCTGCACCAAACCCTATGTGCACACATATACACACTGATAAAACCTTTTTTTTTTCCATGGTGTAAATAAAACAAATGTTTTAGAAAAAAATACTATTTCAGTCTTTCTACTTTATCATTTTATTTATTTATTTATTTTTTTATTCAGTGTGTTACTTGTCATTTCTTTGTAGTTAATTGTGACACTTACTTGCAATTTCTGAGTGAAAACTCAGTACTCAAATAGTGTTTCTACACTATTTTTTCAATTGTTTAATGGATGTTTAGATATTTGTATGCAAAACAAGGCAAAAATACTGTAATTGAATTGACACTTGTTCCAATGATACTTAGTTTTTTAAACAAGAAAATACTATATAAAAATATACAAATATTATAAATATGTAAATAAAAAAATATAGAAATATTTATTTTAAAAACAATCATTCAAATATAAAAGATCTTCCAGCCTACAAATGCTGTCTTAGAGGGGAGGTGTCTGAAAAAGAATGCATTAAACAGCACATTTCACAACTTTTTAATATAATTCTAAGCTAAAAAGAAAAAAAATTGCATTTCATGCCATGTATTCGTCTACTATATTTTGTTTTCAATGGTACCGTTTCAAATAACTGCCATGCAGAGAGCATGAGAGCGCATTCAAAGCACATTTTTCCTTCAGAGGAAAAATCACTGATCAATAAAGTAAATAATGAATGAATGGAAATATCAGTCTGGGAAGAATAAATACAGAAATTAAACAATGCCAAACAAGGGATTAGAAGACTAAATGTGTCATCTAAATGAGGAAGAGGGCAGGCGTGAACAGGAAGCAGGAAGTACCTGGCCCCCCACTCATTCTCCGATCCTTCATATAAGCAACTGAGAAGGGGCAGGAAAATACACATAGGGTACAGATTATACCAAATACAGCACCTCCACACACACACTTATTTGCTTGCATACACTCACAATTCTCTCATCATGGGAAATAGACACACATGGGAGAAAGGACACACTGAACATACTGGATCGGTTTACATTTGGCTGAGAAAGAATCATCAGTTGAACTGATTTGGGGTTCTGATTTACCCAGAAACATTATTAACATTGTTACATTGTTAACTTACTGTAACCCATTCCCTGCAGGAAGTACTTGAAAGCCTCTGTGAGTTTTCCAGGCTGTAGGATTCAAAACATTTAACATAGTTTAATTGTTAAACTAGTGTTTGACAAGCTTTAAATGAATAATTATGCATTCATAAATTAAAATATTTGATTTTAAGGACATTTTATTTACATTTGTAAAATAAACAATTTTGGTATCGTGTTCGGTCACCATTGTAATACTATAAGAGACTAATCTGAGATCAGACACGTCAAGCAGTCTCACCTGTGTAATTTGAGGCATTCCACCTGAATCAGCCATCTGAAATAAATCAAATGTTTTTAACAAATTATTTCTGAAATTTGATGTGCTAAAATGGTTTAAGTTTGGCCTCTGTTTCAACAGTATGTCTGTTCGCTTGCCTTTAGGAATGTGGTGTTGGTTGGATCCAGTTTAGAGTTGCACTCAACCTAGGAGTAGAAAACATTTATACTGTATTTTATAAATGTTTGTGAACATATAGATATGTATCAGGGCATAGCAGTACATAAGCAGACGGAGAAAATGAAACAAGTTCTTCAGAAGGTATCTGAATGATGGGTAGTAAGATGGATGGTGTGATGGAGGGAGGAGAGAGTGTGTGTGTATATATAAATATATATATATATATATATATACTGTATGTGTGTGTGTGTGTGTGTGTGTGTGTGTATTTGAGGTCTGACCCAGTTCTGCGGTACTGCAGAGATGAGTCATATTCCAGTGCTAAAGAAAGACAGCTGTGCAGACGCATTCGCCTGTGGGTTCTTGTTTGGACCACCGCAGACACTTTCAGAATGGGACGAGTACCCCCTTTCTAACATGTCCATAATTCTAATGAAAACTCTTACCACAAGTGTCTACATTATATGTATGTTTATATATAAACATAGTTTAACGTATGGATGATTTAGACCAGAAATGGAAGGAAAATCAGTCAAGTAATGTTACTATTGTTAATATTACTCTAAAATGGGGAATATATTGTAATAAACAAGAATAATTTGGTTTCACTAGGGGCGTATTTGCTTTTCTGATCTCTCCTTATGCTCTAAATCACTTCATTTTCCATGATTTTGGTTTATTTGTTTATTATTTTTCGTCCTAATCTCTTCCTCATCCTTCTGTTGTTTCTTCTGCTCCCACCTTTTCATCTTCCTCCACTTGCCCTAAATTACTCGAATCCGTCTCTTCTCTCATCCTCTTTTCGTTTACCTCTCGCTCTTATCCATCTCTTCCCCTCCTTCATCGTGTCCCTCTTTTCCTCATCTCTCACCCTGCGTGTCTGATTAGATGTGACGGGGCACTGACCCAGCTTTCACACGTTAGATTAAAGGACCATAGTGCGGAGTTAAAAATATCCAACGCACACAAGCTGGCAAAGCCTGGGAGATCAACCCCGGGGCCAGTGCCATCTGCTCCCATGAGACAACCGGAGAAAGAGGAAGGAAGAAATGCTGAGCGGACTGACTTGTCTCTGAATGACAATTTACATTCAAGTTTGGGAAATATTACATAGAAAGACAAGTTTATGTAAAGACTCATAGGAGAGAAAAGTTTGGAAGGAGGAACAAAACTTGAGAGACAAAAATGTGAAGGATGAGAAAAACATGATCAAATAAGTTTCCCTCTTAAATATCAGGCACAAAAGTGGAACAAAGACTCACCACGCCTTCCTCAGCCGGAGCATTGTCACCAACGACCAGCATGACTGGGCACCTGCAAGAAAAAGATTTCAGAATTCTGTCTTATCACACAGGCATATGTAAATGAGACTAATCATATTCTAATGAACGTAGTTCTTACCTCAGGGTCTTAGCATTTAGCATAGAGCCACTGCGGTTCATTTCCAAATCCCTGCGGCTGTGGAAAAAAAGAAAATTCTCATTTTAAATCAAGTTATTATTAATATTATGATTTTTATTTTTTTTTACAAAATATGCATTTTTATTCTACTCATGCATTACGTATAAGGTTTTATATATAAAAGAGGTAGTGGGCGGTTACCTGTTGTACATGTTCCAGAAGAGCTGTAGGTTGAATTGGTTGATTGTGTTATTGATCTGTTGGCGGTAAGTCTGGACCACTTCTGTGTTGCTCATAAGCTCTTCCTGTAATACAATGAATGTTACGTTAGCTAAATATTTAGCTTGAAAATTCAATTGAACATTTTAAAAATGTAATCTTTGATATGCATTTATTATTTTAAAATTTAAAAAGTAACTACATAATTTTTTTTTACATTTAATGTCCTTGAAATGAATGCATAAATTTAAATCAATTTTCCAAAAAGCCTTGAAATGTATTTTTAAAGGTGACTGTATACTGTATCTACAGTGAAACATAAGGAATGTAGATTAATATTGTACCTGGCTGAAGAGGTGGGCCAGGACAGTGTCTGGTAAAGTACTGGTGAGTCCTGACAATTTTGTGGCGGCCCAGTCGATCCATCCCTTCCCATTGGGGTCAATGTTGAGTAGAACCAGACCCTCCACAAGATCGGGGAAAATCAGCTACAAGTAGAGAGCACAACTGAATTGCATTGAATGTAAATTAAAAAAAAAAAAAAAAAGCTTGACCAGCATACAGTAAAAGGCTGAGATTTACTAACCGCAAATTTGGCTAGGATGTAGGCACCAGCCCCCACTCCAATTCCAACAATGCTCTTGAAGCTAGGAATTTAAAGGAATGGATTATCATTAGATTACATTATCATCGCAGCCCATAATTTAGAGAATAATCCAACCACACTCACCCGAAGTGTTGCACCACACTAGGAAGCATCCCAGCTAGCTGATCCATGGTGGGATACTGATACCTAGGAATAACATGATAAAAATAAGTATTATAGGCCTAAATGATATCTCGAGTTCTTACATGGCTCTCTGGAATACTTGATTCTGATTGGTCAATCGGGGCATTCGACGCTTAGATATTCGCCATCTTGTAGTACACAGAAATGTTTACATAGTCCACTCATCCGTAACCTAAACCGGTGCTACTTTCATCAGACTCGCGCTCTTTTGTTTCATCCTAACGCAACTGGCGCCATCTTGTGTTTCAGTTATCGACTGTAATGAAAATCACCTCAGAGAGGACTAGTAATTTTACTGTATTGAAGCGGTGCTCGTCTTGTTGCTAGGCCGACACTTTTGTGAGATTTTAAGGTAAGATTTTAACACAGTTTCTACTCAAATCAATATTTCATGGCCATGTAATAATTTATTTGGTAAATAGCCTTGTTATAAGTGCAGTAATGCACAGCAGTCTTACAATTGTAGCTATAGGCCTATTATTGTTTTCTGACTGACTGTACATAGCCTACCACGCTGTAAAAAAAATAAATAAAAAAAAGTTCTAATGGTTTTGACTACATATAGACCTATACCAACTCTTAACAATTAAAAATGTTTTTGGGCCATATTCTATTAGTAGTTTTAACATGCCACCAGTAGAAGGCAACAAATTACCAGAGACCATAAAATACAATCCATTAACCTTTTTCCTTACATATCCTGTAAAATGGCAAATACTGGTGTATATATTCATGTGTGTGTTCATTGTACCCTTGTGGCATCTGGGGGGCACCAATGTGCTGGCCTGGGGCATCTACGTGGCACACCACAAAATGCTTAGTGATCTCCTGCATGTCTTCATTGTGGAAGAAGGTGTTGAAGCACAGCTTGTCTGCTCAGAGAAAGAGAGCGAGACATTGTAAAAACAAAAACGTATTGTGTTGTTACCTTGGTAAAATTATATCAGATGGTACAGAATGAATATCATGTTTTATACAGTGTTCGTGGTATTTACATGGTACTTCTCCAACAACAATATATAATACATTGTTATCCCAGATTCCATTGGATCACCTTTCGTAACATCATACATTATATAACATTACTGATTATAAAAGAACACTTCAAATTTGGGGCAGTTCTGTAAATTGCGTTCTCTGTCCGCTCATCTTTCATGCCAGAATCATTGGCTTACTTCGATCATGAAATAAAGAAACAAAACAACTTCAGTGTGCTAGCTAACTGCTCACTAACAACTCATTTTAATTCATGCCATCTCCCTAATCATCATCAAATGGTGTTTTGGCAGGTCTTCAAGCTATTTAAAGGAAAACATCACCCAAAACATTGACTCATCCTTATGTCGTTCCAAACCCATATGCTGTTACCTATTCCATGGAGTACAAAAGTAGAAATTTTGGAAGTCGCCCATATAACTTGTGTGCTGCAGAATCTAAAATAAAATATAAAATAAAATGACCTTTCTCATGGTCTTGAACCAAAAAAGACTTGCCGATTTAAAGGTGCTGCATTGTGGCATGAATCATATCCAAGCTTCTCTACCCTGTAGTAAGTGATCCAATTTTTTTCCCATTGCCTCCCAGCTGTATTGCTCACTTTGCATTTTTATATAGTCCAGTGTCTCCTTTCGGTGGTCTGTGTCACTCGCTTGCTCTCTCTCTCGCTCACTGAGTCGTGTTTTGTGATGGAGGATGGCCATGCATACTAATACATGTATCCGCAGCGGAGTCAGAGCTACTCTATGCCGCAGTGCTGACCTTCCCCGCTCCCCTCCCCATCACTGCATGATGGGTATGTTTTTGTGACCTACATATTTCTCTCTCATGTGCGCGCACTGCATAGGAATAAGAACCAGCAGACAATAACACACTTCAGGGCGAGATAATGTGGAATGGATAGATAGAGGGAGGAGGAGATTAGGAGGAAAGAGGAAGGAAAAAAGGAGAAGTAGAGGAAAGGAAAGCCATGCTGTGAGTGATGAGAAGAGATCTCGGCCAAGGTTACGAGTCATTTAATTCCATCACATTGACAGAATGTGGAATTTAATATCAAGGTCAATAGCAACTCGGCCGCTTTTGTTCTGCTGACCCATAAATGGATCTAATGTTCCTTATCAAGCCATAGATTAAATTCCTATAATTCACATTGAGTACAAACGTTATTCTTGATTAGACATTCATTCTTCTTTAATATAACTACACGTAAAAAAGTAGCTACAATAAACAAATGATTAAAATTCTTATATGTACTAACTGTATAATATTAATTATTAACAGTGTTTATATATATATATATATATATATATATATATAACTATATT